GATGCGCAAAGAGTTCACCATCCCCATTGTGACGCGCTGGTTGTGAGAGTCGTAGTAGCCAGAAACGGGTTCAAACGCATGCTCGTCGACAATGGTAGTTCGATGAACATATTGTTTGGCTCCACTTTTGACAAAATGTAGATTGAACATGAGTTAATCCCCATGACCAACCCACTATTCAAATTTACTAGGGACAACATCGTCCCACGAGGGCGGATCACTCTGCCCGTCGAGATGGGTTCGGCACCCCTAGTGGCCCAACACTTCGTGGAATTCTTAGTGTAGACTACAGATTGGCCTATCATGGAGTATTGGGCTGACCCGCTTTGAAAGATCTTTGGGTCGTCACATCCATCCACTACTTGTGTATGAAATTCCCAACTGAACATGGGATTGTAACGGTCCGAGGTGATCAGATGGGCTCCAGGGCATGCTACTTAAACTCGATGCGAAAGTCGGACCCTCGAACTGTTAATGTAATCCTAACTGAGGTTCCTACTGAAACCAGCACAGACGTAAAAATGCTCGACACCCCTGAACAAGGGCATACCTCTGAACAAGAGGAAGACATCGACATGGAAGAGGCCCGTGAATAAGGGCACCCTCTTGATGAGTTAGATCCCCGAATAATTAACCCTGAACTAAATGCAACCCTAATGAAAGAGCTGGAAACTTTCTCCGTCAACCCAGAAGACCCCAGTCAGGTCTCGCGTATAGGGAAGGCACTGTCCCTCGAAGCAAAATAAGAGATGATAAGCTTCCTGAAAAGGAACTTGGATGTCTTCGCTTGGAAGCATGAAGACATGGTGGGAATAGATCCAAGGATAAGTTGCCACCATCTTAACATCAACCCCTCTTGTGCCCCCCATCGACAGAAGAGACGTGCCCTCAATTCGGAGAGGTACGAGGCACTGAAAGATGAAATAAACAAATTTAGCCACAGTGGATTCATAAGGGAAGCCATCTATCCGAAGTGGATATCCAACTCGGTCCTGGTGAAAAAGCCCAGCGGAAAATGGAGGGTATGCGTAGACTTCACAAACTTGAATAAGGGGTGCCCTAAAGACAGCTTCCCACTTCCAAGGATAGACCAACTTGGGGATTCCACTGCTGAACACGAACTGCTGAGTTTCATGGATGCATACTCAGGGAACAACCAGATACCCATGTTCCGACCTGATGAGGAAGCTACGTCATTTATTATGGACAGAGGTCTGTACTGCTACAAAATCATGCCCTTCGGATTGAAGAATGTCGGAGCTACATATCAGAGGCTAGTCAAGATGATGTTTACTGAACTCATTGGCAAAATTACAGAGGTCTACGTGGGCGACATGTTAGTCAAAAGCCTCCAGGCAGCCAAACATGTAAGTCACCTCGACCAAACTTTTCAGATACTTAGAAAATATAAGATGAAGTTGAATCCCCTCAAATGCACCTTTGGAGTGGCTTCGGGTCAGTTCTTGGGATATATTGTCAATCAAGGGGGAATTGACGCAAATCCAATGAAAATAATGGCCTTGCTAGATATGAGGTCACCCCAAAAACCAAAGGAGGTCCAAAGCCTTAATGGTTGAATAGCCGCACTCAGTCGCTTCATCTCCAGAGCGACAGATAAAAGTTTACCTTTCTTCAATGTGCTTAAGCAAGGAAAGAAGTTCCAATGGACCTCTGAATGTGAGGAAGCCTTCCAGGCGTTGAAAAAGCACCTCAGAGAAGCACCCCTCCTGTCGAAACCTCAACCACATTAGTCACTACTACTATACTTAGCGATTTCAGACGTGGCGGTCAGCGCCGTCCTAGTCAAAGAAGAAAGTGAGCGCCAGCTGCCAGTGTACTACGTCAGCAAAGCACTTCTCCCATCTGAAACACTCTACCCAGACATGGAAAAATTGGCACTCGCCCTTATCACAGCCTCAAGAAAACTGAGGCCATTCTTCCAAGCCCACTCAATCGAAGTTCTCACCAACTTTCCATTGAAGCAGGTGATGCAGAAAACAGACGCATCAAGACGCCTACTAAAATAGGTAATTGAGCTCAGTGAGTTCGATCTATTGTTTCGATCTCGACACACCATCAAGTGCCAGGCCCTTGCAGATTTTATGGTTGAGTTTGTCAAAGCCCCAGAAATGGATGCGACAATGAAACTAGTCGAGCCCCCCACATGGAAAGTGTTTGTAGATGGGTCCTTAGGAGAGACTGGCTCTGGGGCAGGGATCGTCTTGGAAAGTCCGGAAGGCCACAAGTTAAACTACGAAGTAAGGTTCGGCTTCAAAGCCTCGAACACGCTGCTGAATATGAGGCCCTTCTGGCAAGTCTTAGACTTGCTAAAGAGACGCAGGTCAGAAGGCTCCTGGCGAGCAGTGATTCTCAACTTATAGTGAATCGGGTCAATGGGAACTTCGCGGCCAAGGACAGTAGCATGGTTGCATACTTGAAGTTAGTTTTGGATCTAGTTCCTCATTTTGAAAGGTTCAAACTGATTCAAGTCCCCCGCCTAGAAAATACACACGCAAACGCCCTTTCAAAATTGGCCAGCAGCAAGGATTCAGAGTTGCTAAAGGTTGTCCCTATTGAGCACCTATCAAAGCCCTCTACTTCCGGAGGTGAAGAGGTACTATGGATAGAAAGCACCCCATTATGGATGCAGCCTATCATCGCCTATCTGAAGGATCAGTCACTGCCTGCTTCTAAAAGAAAGGGGCGGAAGTTAAGAAAAAGGGTTGCACACTTTGTCCTGCAAGAAGATACTCTTTACAAGAATCTTATTATTTATTTATTTTTAATTCAAGGCTAGTAGTTTAGTATTTCTTCCTTTTCTTGATTAATTCTACATACTCATTGCATTATTTAATTGTTTGGCTATCAATTGGTAATTAGTTGTTTGTTGTAGTGTTGGGAGAATAACAATAAGTTTAGAACACGATAAAATTAATATATGTACAATAGATGCTAGGAATAACATTTATCATATAGATTGTTACGGCCCTATCTGAACCACCTCGGAATGTCCACCACCACACACTCCGATCTGCTAGACACCCACCCGAAGTGGTTCCGAAGTGATCTCCTCCATATCAACGACCTGCTATCACACTGCGAGATATAGGCGATCCTGCTGAACTGACCGAAGCACCCTCGCCCCTGAGGCCGAGGCTAAGTGCACTCCGGGGACCTCTGTCAGAAGATCCACCGCCAATTTCAGAAGGAGATCTTTGCCAAGATCCTTTCTGCCCCTAAGGTTTAAATTGATTTGACGTCTCCATGAGACTAATTTATGTAACTTATCAACTTTATGTTAATTCAACTCGGGAGAAGCAATTACCCGTCCATTCTACAGACGCGGCTAATTGACGCCTATGAGCAGACACCTCATACCGTTAGATGTATACATGTGCCCCCACATCCAACGGTTCATCCCACCTATAAATACCCAAGGATTGACAAGAGGCAAAGGTAATGAAATTCTTACTACATAGCA